AACCTGGAATTTCTAGCAAACATACAACCATGGAGGCCTAGCAAACAAACCTGGAGCACTAGTTCACATATATTGGTGCACAACAATGCACGAACCGGAGACCGACCATGAACAACTAGAATCCCAACAAGTCACACCCCCGGAGCCCGACCAGTTGTATAATCGCAAGCCTAGCAAGGAAATATTTCATCCAATCCCCCCACCAATGTGCTATGTGGGGTGCCATAGGAGTCCATTTTGGGGCCAACCCTTTTTATCATATACATCAATGACATAGATGAGAATATTACAAACCACATCAAATTTGCAGATGACACAAAGATCTATGGTAAATTGGGAAATGAAAGTCATATTGAAACCTTACAAAGATCTACATGAACTCCACAAATAGTCAGATGACTTTTTAGTGTCGATAAATGCAAGACCTTGCATTTGGGACATAATTAGCAATCCACGTCACAACTACCAAATTGACAGCACTACCTCTCAACAGATCGATGAAGAAAAGGACCATGGAGTCAGAATCCATCAAGTGAGGCATTACAATACCTAACTTCCAAATCCTCAACATTATCTTGGAGTCAGAATCCACCAATCACTGATAGTTATACAACAAGTGGAAGCGGTAGTAAAAAAAGCAAACGAAACCCTGGTCATAATCTTGCGTACCTTAACCTTCAAGGAAAAGAAAGTAGACCTTCAAATGTATAAGTTTCTGATGCGCCCCCACATGAATTATTGCATCCAGGCATGGAGACTTCATCTTCAGAAAGACACAGCTGATATGGAGCCATGTCCTACCAGAGCTATGGAGCTATGTCTTACGACAAAAATGATACCAGAGCTTAGTCATCTCTCGTATCAGGAACGATTGTGGGCCACAGGCATGACCAACACTGCAAACCAGGAATGACAGGATGGACTTCATAGAAACCTTTAACATGCTAAACAATTTGGAGGATGTCAATCAGGACAATGTCTTTAAAATTTTCAGATGTTACACGAACAAGGAGCAACTGGTTGAAACAACCCAGAAAGTTGGACAGGAAACAGGTGATGTTTTTTCACCCATAGGGTTGTAAACCCTTCGAACCGCCTACCTGCCATAACCGTAAACGCCAAAAAACTGCTGAGTTTTTAAATACAGCTGGAAAAATCATCAGGGCAAATGGGGGGACCTTTGACAAGCCGCCGGCTTACTGTCCTCATCAAGGCCACTAGTGTTAGTGGCCCTCAGGTAAATTTAGTTCCTGGAGGGTTATCCCTCGCTCCTTCCTGTTGGGAAGTTGTTCAACTATTGCAGTACACAGGACTTTCGCTTGTCACTAAACTTTGTTTTTAAACTATTAACTTGATGAAATAATATTACGTTATACGCGGGAATAATTCTGAATACGCACTGCAATAAAACTGACGAATGCGGCTTTGAGTTGGGCGGCGGCGTAGGCGAGCCTGGCCTGAGGACAAGCAACTGTAAATGCTTCACCCTCCACATACTTCAAGTGCAAATAATTGCCAACAGAACCTAAATACCGAACCCGGTATTGTATACGCATAATTAAACAAAAAATATAAAATTAATTTATACACGATAAAAACTATTGTTAATACAGTACATGAAAGTCGATAATAAATGCGTCTTGGGAGGTGGGGGGGGGGGGGTTGCTCGACCTCCGCGTTAACGAGCCTAGCCTGACGACGGGGTGGTTTAACACTGGGGAAGTGTATTCTACATAATTACAAGAATGTAATTACTATGATATGTATCCTCACAATCCCAATGTACCTTCTTGTATATAAATAAATAAAATAAACATAATATCCTACCCATATAATGTTGGCAAATCATGATCCACAAATATCCGAGAGAGGACAGTCTATTTAGCATTAGTTGAATACAAACATTTAAAAACTACAGAACCCGATGAAAAAAACAATACGGAAGCAATGACCCTCAGACACATTACAAAAACTCTGTTATAATATCGAACAAATGTATAATGCATTAAGCATTGTAGATGGAGTTAAACTATATATTCCTGCGTACCTCCCAACTGCTCAGATAGATTAAAAAAAAAAAAAAAAAAATTATCAGCCTTACCTACACGGGAACGACGATGCTCACGCCGCCGCTGCTTCCTGACGACTGACGGGGTCGTCGTCGATGACCCCGTAGCGTCCACCCGACCCAGAGACCCTCTGCCTAAAATTATTTGAACGCCATATTGAAATTCCTAGCATATAGCGCCAGGAGAGTGTGTAAATTTAATATTTATATGCATTATAGGCCTTTCTAAAGTAATTTATAGATCTGAATATCATATATTGTCTAACAAACGAATGATTTAAGTTAATATTTTAATTATGTCAGATACAAGTCTCATCGCACAAGAAGATTCGTCAGCGGATTTTTTATATTTTTTATTTATATATAAAAAAGAGTTCTCAAATTCTTGTAAAACCACTACCATGTATAGCGTTTCGGGCAGGTTCTTAATCCTAATTTGTTTCCCGGAATACGACCCGCCAAATCGTTTACGTGGGCGGAGGTAGCTTGAGAGCTACATCTTTTTTTCTCTTGAATCCACATAAGTGACGTGCTCAAGTGGCATGAGAAAAAGTATTTCTATAAAATCCAATTTTTATCCGATCGACTTGGGATAGTTTAAAAAATTTTGCAATGATATTTTCGTTTTCTCTAATATCTGCGTAGCCTATTTGGGAGAACGGCATTGCATTGCATCATCGTGGTAAGACCATTGTATTGTTGACACGATGACTGTAATCGACGTAGTTTTTTATTTGGTACCGGTCTAACGCATCCATGTGTGACATTTTATATTATGTTCTTCTATATGTTCGTGTAGGGAATTTTATTGCGATCTCAGTGATACCAAATTTAACGCTGTTGGACAAGTGTGGAGTTAACAACCCTGAAAAAGAGTAGAAACATTTCGTTGCTGTTTGGCGCTCACGGCTAGTGATCAACATAGCTCTTTATTTGGTGCTGGTCTAACTCATGCTTTGGTGACATTTTATGCGTATGTTCTTCTAGAACAAATTCTAGAACTTCTCGGGCAAATTCAGGTATCTCTCTCTATGGGTGAAAACAAATATTTTTCCATCCTTCAGTGTGGGTTGTTGAGCTCGAAACCATTGTTCCTTGTACGTCTTACATCTAGCCTTTTGAAGAAGTCTTCTAAGTCAATATCTTCTAAATTGTTCAGTAATTTAAAAGCTTTGCTGAGAGCAGCCCTGTCATGTCTGGTCCCTGTGGCCTGAGGGCAGTAATATTCCGGGAACATCAACTAAATTTCGGAGACAGACTTGAGGCAAAGAGAATTTCACACCAGTTCCTCCATCTATCATCATTCTATTATGCAGGAAGTGCTGCACATCTATGGATCATCCAATAAGGTTAGCAGATTTCTAGATGTTACCACTGCTAGGCTTAGGCTCGGCTACAATTAAGTATCTCTGGGAGTTTGCAACATCTGCTGATGTAGATCTGACTAAATATAAACTGCCAGCAGAACTATTCGCATACTTTGCATCATTATATAATGGAATGTGAAAAATCGCGGAATTCAGAGATAACACCATAAATGGTGTCCAAGAAATGTGTAAGTACTTCATTCATAATGATGTGCTGCCCGAAATCTTAGCGAAATATCCAAAATTTAGTTACTGTAGGTAATGCATGCACATGACTGTGCGGATGTGCAGCAAAACTAGTAACTGTGTGACTCACCATAGATGTAAAGTGCCTTGTATAGTGACTGTTGTGAGTCTCATGTGAGCCTCTTGTTGAATCACTTGTGATACAAAAGATTATTGATGTGTGTGTATTTGTGTAAGTGATTGAATATGTATGTGTATGTGTATATATGTATACGTATATATATGTAGATGTATGTATGAGTATGTGTACATGCATATATAACATTAATAATTGTGTAACTAGCGTCAAAAGATTGCTATTTGCTTAGCTAAACGAACTAGAGGGATGAGTTCCTGGACCGATGATGTGCCTCTAATCCTTTACACCACCGCCCACGGGATGTGTATGGGATGCATAATAAAGAAAGAAATATATCTATCCCTATGGACCTCAACCGTTCCTGGTATGAAAGTTGATATAGTTCGGAAAAGATTTTATTCACCCGGTGTTGAATTTCTCCAAAGCAGATATGTCTTTCTGAAGATGAGGTCTCAATGCGTGGATGTAATAATCCAAGTGGAAGCACACCAGAGATTTATACAGTTGTATAACTACCTTTTCCTTCGTCAAAATTTCGTTTGACTATTCCTAGGATTTGGTTTGCTTTTATAACTGCAACTTCCACTTGTTGTACAGCTATCAGTGATTGGTGGATTCTGACTCCAAGATAATGTTAATGATTTGGTAGTTGTGTATTGTTATGCCCCCACATGGGTGAAAAAAAAACATCTGTTTTCTGTAGTAAGTTGTGGCTTGTTGAACTTGAAATCGTTGTTCCTTGTTTGTGATTGACTGATGAAGATTAAGCCACCTAAGAGGGGGCACGGGCATGAATAGCCCGTAAGTAGAGTTTTATTTTATTGCATGTGATCTTTGGTCGTGAAAGGATATACTGCGTGCTCTGCTCGCATTTAAATCCTCAGTTTGTGGCTGCTATCTCGGGGTGCTTGTTTGTGTTGCATCTGACCTTACTGAGCCGTATGCAATCCAAATTTGGAGAAGTTAGTTTAGTTAATTTATTATGTATCCCATACCCATCCCGTGCGCGGTAGTAGAAAGGGTTACAGTGGCACTTAATGGGTTCAGGGACTGAATCCCAAAATCCATTTGGCTAAGCAAGTTACTTTTTTGATGAGCTAGTTACAATATCAGTGCACCTCGTCACATCAACAATAGGCTCAAGACCGACCACGAGTACCCTTTTCTATATTAAAGATAACACCAGTGCTGATAAGAGACATACACAGCCTCGCTCCTGTGCCAGGTAAGTCCACTACGGGCTCACCATAGCCCGTGCTACTTGGACCTTTTGTTCTGAGTAGCTGAATCTAAAACAACAACAGCTGATAACATCAGTGTTGTCATGACATCATCTGCTCTGTAACTTGTCAACAGATGATATAGTTTACCCTCTTTATTACTTGTTTCGGTTTATATTGTAATCAAACCAATCCAGATATTACATACAATTATTCCCGATTTTGCCTATCCCCATTTTGAATATTATTGATGTGTATAAAAGATGAGAGAAGTAATAGTAGAAGTTTGGTTGTGAGAAGTGTGGCGGATGAGACAGACGACGTCACCGGAGGTGGACTGATGCTGCTGGTGGGTCTTATTTTAATCCTCCTTTCCTACAATACCAACGTGTATCGATATTTGTCATGCTACTCGCACCTTGTTTTATCTTTAGTGTTAAGGATTTTGATACTCGTGTGGTATATTTCCTTTTCTGGGTGGGTTATTAGGCTTGTTATGTGCTATCTACATCTCTGGGAAATATTTGTCACTGATAAGCTCTCACCGCGACTGGGAGTCGTATGTTCAGTGTGCCTCATATTAGATAATACAATTTTAATTAATTTTTTTGGGGGACTGGCAGTAAGAATATGCATACAGTACATGTTAGGTTTATATCGAGGTCCATCCTCCCCCCTCCCCCATTCAGGGTTGAATTACTGACCCTGTGACCCTCTCCCAGGATGCAACCCAATAGTAAGCCAACTCCTAGGTACCCATTTACTGCTAGGTAGACAGGGGCATGAGATGATAAGGAATGTGTCGAATCATTTCTGTGCCGACTGGCATTTGAACCTGAAATTCTCGATTTCGTGTCGAGAACGAACCCGACTGTACTATCGGGACCCCTCTCCAGTCATCATAAATTATCAGTAACTATGGATTTTATTGCCAACTTTTGACAGATTCGTATTAATGTCACATAATTATTATAACTGCAGGGAGGTTGAAAGTGGGGGCTACTTTCTCCTTTTACAGTGTCTGTAACATTCTGCTACCTCCTACAGGTTGGGGATAATAAATAAATAGATATTTAAACTAAAACTAACTGTATCCACACATGATTTGGGCTTCTTCTCAGCTTAGAATATAGAGATGCTGTACTAAATCGGCATCATCCAGATGAAGAAATTGCTCGGAAATGCAACTCAGCAGTAAATCTCTGCATGATTACTAAAAAAGATTCAGATATCCTGGTCTTGAGGTTTTATGGTATGACCTTGAAACCAGACTTTGTCAGTACTGTATAAAGAAAGTCTGATAGTCTTGATAAGCAAGTTACAAAATTGAATATAATGTATAGTGTTATACGAACAATTACTGGGTTAGAGACTAACCACGAGGCCAGGAAACCAGTGGCTTTTTGAACTGTAGTAATATCTCGGCATTTATAGATTTGGTGGGTAGGTGGCTCCATGGTTATATATTAATTAATTTTGTTGAAGACAGGCAGCCTGAGTATATATATATAATAGACACACACACACTTACTTACTTACTTTAGGCTAGCATTGGGGTTCCTCGCCCCCCTAAGGTCGACCTGCTGACCTTCCTCAGGATGCAACCCCACAACAGTATCCTTCAAATTGTCCAGCATTTTAAGTGTCGATGAGGTCAGCCCTGTCATGTCATGTTTGCAGTATTAGACCTGTGGCCTTCTACTGTTCCTGGTATGAGAGTCCAATTAGTTCTGGAATATAATGTTTTTATTACACATAATTGTCTCAAATATTTTCTCCAAACATCTGGACAGATAATTTTAAAATTATGTAATAACTATTGTTTTCACTCACACATGCATGTCCTTTTTAGATGGGAATTACAAGGTTGTATGGTTGGAATCAGTTTCACTCAAACATGCATGTGCTCTGGTTGGAATTACAAGGCCAAAAATCTGATGAATCGGTGTGTTTTCGTGGGGAAATATCTTTGACCCAAATTATGCAAGGGCAGTTCTTCAAGTGATTTTCTTTGTGTTTTTTGGTGTTAACCTGAGTTTGATAATGGATGTTTTGATTAACTTGTATTTGTTACATAATTTGATTTTGCGTATGTGCTCTGAAGGCTTATAATTGATTTTATTTTTCAGAGATATGGATATTAAGGCAAGAGGATGTTGTGCTATAGTAATCTAGTGTTGTGTTTTGTTATTGTGATTTATTGTAGTGGGGTGAACAGTCTTGATAGAAGAGAAAATTCTCCTATTAGTGATGGTAAAGAAGCAGTAGATGATGCTTGCAAGATATTTTGCAATTATAAGCTTCTGCATCATGTGCATTTGTCAATGACTTTTAATGATAGCAAATACTTTGTTGACATGAAGCTCAAGAGGCCTCCTGAAGAAATAGAAGAAAGATTTAAAATTTTATTAAATGAAACGAAAGAAAATCCAACTAAAGATGAAATGAAGAAGTTTATTATTGGAAACTTTGAAAATTCTGGCACTGAATTTGAGAACTGGATTCCAGGTGATTGGAAAGAAAAGCCTATGTTTATAGATAATATTTATGATCTTCCTTTGAGGAACTGGGCTCTTGAAGTCAACAAAAAATGGAAGTTACTTGGAAAAAAACTGTCTAGAGATGTGCATTATAACAATAACTTGTATTCACAAATTTATGTTCCATATCCCTTTATTGTGCCAGGGGGACGTTTTGCTGAATTATATTATTGGGATTCATACTGGATTATTGAAGGTCTTCTCCTTTCTGAAATGTATGCCACAGCAGAAGGTATGATAAAAAATTTCATATACCTTGTAAATAAGTTTGGGTACATTCCTAATGGTAGTAGAAAATATTATCTAGGAAGATCTCAACCTCCATTTTTGATTTCTATGGTAAATTTGTATTGGAAATTTACCAAAGACAAATATTTTTTGAGTGAATCCATTGGTGCCATGGAGAAAGAATACAATTTCTGGCAGAATAACAGATCAGTTATTGTCACAATAGATGATACACCTTATAGACTGTTTCAATATAGAATTAATACAATAAATCCAAGACCTGAGTCATTTCGTGAGGATGAGGAACTTGTGAAAGGCAGGAATGAAAAGGAAAGGGCAAGAATCCTTTCTGGGATCAAGTCAGCAGCCGAGAGTGGATGGGATTTTTCCACTAGGTGGTTTTTGGCAGATGGGAAACATTCCTCCAACATGACAGATATCAGTACATTGTATATAGCTCCAGTATGCCTCAATAGCTTAATGGGCTTGAATGCAAGACACTTGTCTGATTTTTTTAAAATATTAGGAAATGAATCTAAACATGACATTTACAATGCCTTGGCAGATGAAACTAATACAACTATCAGCCGCATCTTTTGGAGTGATCAAGATGGAGTGTGGTTAGACTACAATGTAGTTAAAAAACAACACATTCCGGGATTTTATCCCTCGAATTTGATGCCTCTGTGGACAGAAACCTATGGTAAGGAGAGAACACCTGAATATATTGTAGAAAAGATTATTGCTTATCTTGAAAAGAATACTATTAGTAGTTATCCAGGGGGTATTCCAACATCATTGCAGAAATCAGGACAGCAATGGGATTTACCAAATGGATGGGCTCCATTGCAATATATAGTTGTTCTTGGATTATACAAGGCGGGGAAATATAATTCTCGTGCTGAAAATCTTGCTTTTTTGTATGCACAAGAATGGGTGCTCAACGTGTACAAGACCTATCAGAATACCACTCCACATCGTATGTTTGAAAAGTATAGTGTAACTGAAGTGGGTAAGAGTGGAGGAGGGGGTGAATATGAAAATCAAGAGGGATTTGGATGGACAAATGCTGTTGTTATGACATTCCTAAGCATATATGGCCACAAGATCAAAACACAAGATGTTTTTGATGCTGCACCACTTTCAGTTGGATTCCTGCTTCTGGTAGTCTCTCTTGTGGCTGTTGCAAATTATGTGTATCGAGTACATACTTGCCGGAGAGTTCAGTGGGAATCGGAGGCTTTACCATGAATATACAGCATAATATTGTTTAGTGTACCTGATAAAGTAAACTCATTCTTCCAGTAAGACATTTTTACTTTTAAGCTTATGATACAAGACATTCCATTTACTGCAGGGCAAAAGTTGAATTGTACATATTACATTGCACATTATACTTAATAGGGCTTTGCCTACATTGCTACAGGTAATTAAGATTAGATTTTAATATAAATGTTTATATTGGTCTGTTTGAAAAATTGCTGCACTAACTTTGAAACAATGTCCACTTATCTTAAAATCCCTTGCTTATACGTACCTCAATAATACAGCAACCCTAAAAATCAGAACCCTTTTAGTTGCAAAATAATTCCTGATTTTGTTGCAAATACAGTACCATAAACAAATGTATATCAGTATACATATTTGTTCACAATTTTTACTTGTTTTTTGCAGTAAATATTAAAATACACATTTACTGTATAGTATGTACAGTACTGTATACGGTATTTTTACACACACATTGTGTGTGTAAAATAATTATGTAATATAATATTGGTATTTAGCAACAAATAACTAGATACTGTATAACTAAAATCTTAAGAATCCTGAAGGAATTCAGTCCAAATTACTGAACTGTCTTGATTATCAAGGTTCCATAATACAATCCTTCATTATTACTATTGATGTATTATTAAAACAAAATCTGTTTTAAATTTAGTGTTTATATAAGATGGCTTTGCCATTCATTGTGCAGTAATGCCATTCTTGTGATTAATAGTCGGATGCAGTGGGGGTTGAGGTTATTTATAACTGTGATATAAGTACAGTACAGTACTAATATAGTCAATGTAGAGGTTAGGTGTTTTATCAGTTTTATAGTTGTAATAAGGATTTGCTGTTCCAGAAAACACATGTCAAGGTATTACATTACCTTGTATATATTACTGTATATACATACAGTAGAATAATATTTACATGTAATACCTTGGCACATGTTTTCTAGTAGACCAACCTTGGTATATTGGTGTACTAATAAGTCGTGCTGAATTTCTCTGGTTTTAGTAAGTCCTAGATGGGTAATGTATGTTTAGTAGTTTAAAATATGAAAGCAATTCATAGGGAGTACCCAACTGCAACTGGGTTACTTCGTGAAAAGGCATTCATAAAGCATTTGTTCGGAACATAGAACAAGATTTCCCACAGGCCTAATGCTATCAGGAGGCAGGGTATACATTCCTAAACCACCAAAATCCATTACAAATTCAATATTTTTGGGACATAGACGATAAAAAAATAAGATATTATATTTACCTTGAATGATGGAATTGTCCTGCTTATCAGCACTGGCTGTTTTTGAGAAGTGAAGAGATCTAGTTGCTGGAGGTGGTGGTGGTAGGTAGTGATGCTGCGGTGGTAGGTAGTGATGCCACAGAGGTTGGCTGATTGTCTTCAGTGTCACTTGCTGTATTTCATGTGGGAGATGATGCATAGGTGGCAAAGATGGATTCATCCTTTAGGATGGTCTTGAATCTCAAAAGTAATGGGTCACCATTTCTTTGGCACTGGTGCATTACCAATAAACTTCCTAGACCTTTCAGCCATTGTTAATGGTGTTTTCTTCAATAAATAGCTGGAAGTTCAAAGAATGCACACCATGTCTAGTTATAGTCCTGGGTATGAGAATACTGCTGGCTGAGGTGGTGTGGGTCTCCTCAGATACAAGTCGCTTAGTACTCAAGATGGTTCGCCAGCGTATTTTAAAACCTACCTAACCTTACCCAATCTAACCTAATCCTACCAAGCCTAACACAGCCTAATCTAGGGTAATATATCCTATCCAAACAATATGTATACAGTTTTGACAATCAGAAAAATGAGCTGTCAAATAGCCTTGTGTATGATTTGACCATAACCTGCCTCTATTGTGGGCCATGCAGGCATCTTTGTACCATCCTGTGCGGTCATGTACTGCAGAGACGTTTTAGTAGCACCACTTGTAATACTGAGTGGGTTCGCATAGTGAATTGATGCAGAATCAGGACTAAAGAATCTGGATGGATGAGTGTTCATATAGTGAGCATTTATATAACAGGGACTCCTTGTATCTGTACTGTAAATTAAATTGCGAATAACAATTGTAATTATTGTAACTTAATGTTTGTCTATGCCGTCCATTGCGTGCCTATGGGAAAGTTTTATAATAATATTTCATAATATCTATTGCATATATATGTTATTGTGTGTGAGCAATATATAATATATTTTCAAACTTAGTTTAATGTTGTGTGTTATGAAAATTTTGAATCACTGTGACTGTCCTGAATTTAATATATTTAAAAGCGACTTTGTTTCCCAAAAACTTGTCAGTAACCTGTGATACATCAGCAGGGCAGAAATTTCAAAGAAGAAAATAAAAGTGAAAAGGATATCTTAGTTCATAAAATTAATATTTTGTACTATTTTATTAGTGATGATTTGATATTTTATATTGTACAAGGATCTCATCTTCCCCAATATATCCCTTCATCTCTCAACTGTAGCTACAGTGTAATGTTTGCAGTTTGGTGGGGAAACCTTTGCACATATTACATTTTGTAGATAATGATGCAGGTTCTTGCTAGTTAATGGCAAACATTATCCCATGCAGTGGATATTTGAAGTACAGTATTGATTTTATTTAAGACTAGGATTTAATCTTGATGAGCTTCTGTTATTCATTATATTATTTTACTTAAATTTATATATATTGTATATAGAGGAATGTATGGTTTTGCATGTACAGCAAATTCTTGCTCAAATGGAAAGGTTTATATCACACCAAAATTCAGTTGCATCTAAAGTTTGCTATTTTTTTATTATTTTATGCAAATCATCATTGATTTTTATTAGTGTATACTTCAGAACACACCTTTGTAATCACTTTGATGCCAAAATTATTAAAAAAAAACGTTTTTGGTTTTGTTTAAAAAATATTGCCACTGAATTGCAATGCAGTAAATACATAGGCTCCTCCAGTAGTCTTCCACTATTTTCTGTTGTAACTGATTATGCGGTAATGAAGCTTTCTGGTAGACTATATTCTATATAAATGGAAGGCCCTTGTAGTACTGTAGTTAATAGTGGTCTCAGAGTGTGATTAACCCTTAAACATTGATTATCATGTACAAGTGCTGTACACTGATCATATAGTAATTAAAGAAAACACCTGGTTAAGTATGGATATCAGGTACCATCATTATAATTTTAAATTCAGACATATAATGTTTTTAATCTCTTCCATTCCCCAGTTCTGACAATGGAGGTTAGACCTGGGTAATGGAATAATGGCTGAACATTTAACAGTCCACCAGCTTCTTGTTCCCATCAAGGCCACTGAAGATAGTGGCACTTGAGTGAATTCAGAAATAAACTTCCACCCAATATTTTCCTTGTCTTCCTTCAAAAGTGCGTGTATACAGAGTACCTTTTAGGGATTAGTTGATATTATTTAAACATTTAGTTGGCCTTTTGCTATTGTATTGAGAAATGTTACAATAATTGATTAATACATAGGTGTCTTGTGAATGTGGTTGAGTTAGGTATAAGTGAAGTTACAGAATGAGAGCTATGCTTGTGGTGTCTAGTCTTCTCAATACTCTGTCATATGATGCTTTGAACTACTGGTGATTTTGGTATCCACTTTGAACTACTAGTGGTTTTTGGCATCCACATCCACTTGTTTCAACTCTCTTATCTGTCTGCAAAAGAGAACTTTCTTATATTTTTTGGTGCCTTTATTTCCTGAGCTTAAATCTGTGACCTCTTGTTCTTGAAGTTGCAGGTTTAAAAAAATAATCATTGTCTATTATAATTTATTATATACATGGATTTTTTTTATATACTGAACAGGGATATACAATTTTATAGTGGAGAGCTTTTTCAGTTTGATCCTACATTCCATAGACCTATAATTATTTGATATCAGCTGGTATAATGTTAAATTATACAGTGTATTGAATATTAAATGTATTATTGTGGTCTTTCCAACAAACATTTATATGTGTGTGGTTTGGTAAGTTTTAAAAATAATTTAGTTTCTGGATTACTACTGTATAATGGCAAGGGTAATACTGTATTTCTATATTTTTAATATTTATGCATTAGTATAAATTCTTTTAAGTTTTATAACTTATGACCATGAAAATAAAAGAAACTGTGCTCACCTAGTTGTGCTTGTAGGGGTTGAGCTTTAGCTCTGTGGTCCTGTCCCTCAACCGTCAGTCTACTGGTGTACAGGATCCTGAACTTATTGAGCTCTATCTAATTTGAAACTGTGTATGGAGTCAGCCTCCACTACATCACTTGCTAATGCATTCCATTTATTAACTACTCATAGTATTGTGTTTATTTGTGTTGTTTAGTGTGGTTATAATTTGCTTAATTAAGGTATAGTAGATTTTTCTGATTTTATTGTCCATGTTATTAAAAAAATACTTTTATTTGTATTCAAATATAATTACATTCATCCTTACTGATTTTACCCTTTTCTTCATACATGAAAATATTTGGATAATTGATAGCCCTCTGTATAACTTTGTTTTTTCATTACAAGTAAGTTTCTAATGCAATGATAATTAGGTTCATGTATTTATGCTTTTTACAAATTAGGTAATCAATATTACAAAAGAGGGTTCCTTAATATAGCTTATGTTAATGAAAATGCTGAACATATACTTTTGTGGCTCATAGTTTAGAGAGAGTTTTATTTACTTGTTAAAATTTATTTTCTGTAATTTGCATAATATCAAAGATTTTAGTTTCATATGATTTTTTCTTTACCCTTTCTGTTCCTAATAAATGTTTGCTTTACTAAATATTTATTAAACTATAGAAAATCTTGTAAAAATACTATACAGCAATACTGTATATATTATGGCCATCAGCCTTGAATTTGTGTACTGTGCATTTTACTGATAAAAAATGTCCAAAGGGAACATAATTCTTCATGTTCATCCAACATTTGATTGAATTGATTGTTGCCGCCGAAGGCAGCTAGTTTATTGTGCACCCCATACTCATCCTGTGAGCAGTAGTGCAAAAAAGGATTACAGAAGGCACAAAAGGTCTTTATCAGACCTCAATGGAGATTATTACTGTACATTAACAATTTCATCTATTCCTTACTCCTTATAATTATGATGTCAGCGAGTTACAGAGAAGGTTATATTTCAATAGCTATACAGTATATAGAAACAGACCTACTTGTGTGAAATTGAATATTATATATATATTCAGTATATTGTATGAGTGTTGGCTTCTGTCTAGACGTGCAATTTTGACTTTAATTCTATAATAACATTCTTCTCTTCTTCCATATGTCTGTCGACTTCCGGTTCAACTACCAAAAAACAACAGACTGAGCAAAGCAGAGGTGGTGATGGCAGTACTATCGTTCCAAGTATGGATGAATAAGTTACACATATGGAACATTAATAACCTAAAATTAAGCAGAACTGATATAATTTACAAGCAAATATGCGATATATTTGATGTTAGTGATAATATACTTCAGTACATGTTGATTCACATGATATTTTAGGGTCCCCTTACATAGATCTTTCAATGATAGAAAACGAAATATAGTTTTGGCATTATATCCGCCATGAGAAGACGGACGGCTTGGCGTGTCAACACTAGTGGCGTGCTACGTGGCTCTGCTAGGCTATGCTGGACCAGTTATTTCTTTACTGTAACAACTTCATTGTAACTGAAAGGTCACCACAATGAAGTTATCCTTAGTGCCAATTCGCCGACGATGTCGCTTTTTGAGTAGACGACGTGAGTGGGTGGTTTTGTTATTAGTGCTGTGTGGTATGATCATAACGTTCCGTTACTGGCTGAGGAACAGTGATGAAGTGGAAGAACAACCTCCTTGTACAGTGTCGCAAGAACAGAGGCGAGGATTATACCCGTTATTGTCTGCAGTATCTACTCTCCTGTCCCACCTATCTATCACACATTTCCTCTGTTATGATTCCTTGTGGGGTGCTATACAGGAGTCCGGGCCGTTGCCCTGGGATGCTCACGCCCACCTTTGTGCTCTCAACGAGAAGGTGTCTGTGCACGACGAGGCCGAGCTGCTGCGGGCCTTCAGGCGGCGGGGACTGGCACTGGAGTACAGCTCGGCAGAAGGCCAGTACACCATCAGGAACTCCTCGAGTGAGGGTGTGAAGGTGCCGACGGTGCGTGTGGTGCTGTTCGAGGAGGACGAGCGGGTGCACATGTTGAGACGTGTGGGGTGGCGACGACGTGTACTGCCACCAGACTGTGATGCTCATCCCACCCTCCAGTGCTTCCCTCCCAGCCTGGCAGCCCTCCCGCTACCCAAGAGACCCTTCGGCCCCCTCTCCCTCCCCGCTCCCAGAGAAGACATCGATTTGCTCAAATTTCATTACCCAGACACTTGGTGGCGACCTCTACAGCCTCACTGTTAATAACGTCACAATGAGTAATCATCTATGAATGTCTCATTTGTTCGTGAATCGTGAACACTTGGAAACTGAATATAGTCGTTAATTGCTACTACAAGTCAGTTATTTTATAACTCAAAGTTGTCTGCCATCGTCAGGCGTACTACAACAATTTAACCTGGATTGCTCGAAAATCATTTATCATATTCCGGCCTACAAAAGAATCTGGTAATATTCGTCTTGTCCCTGAATTCATTCATGCCACGATTTTAGTCTTATTAGTAAAGTGATTGTCATTTATACCAACTCAATATTTTTTTATTAATAAAATAATAGTTTATATATGCTTAATTCACATGACACAATGTTAGATTTTCCTGCTAAATATATTTCAAAGCTGATCTTTGTATATTTGTGAAGGCGAAGAGTAATCTAGTGAAACAAAAATACGTAAGTCAACTTGGGGAAGATAAAGGGGTGATCGCAAATACAAATTGTACCTTGATGGGGTTCTGGGAGTTCTACTCCCTAAGCCTGACCCGGGGTCAGGCTTGACTTGTGAGTTTGCCCCAACAGGCTGTTTGTTAATTAATTGCGGCGCCCCGCAGGCCTACGTATCCACTACTTCCTTATAATAGCATGTCGCATTTTGACGTATACTTTACCAAAGACCAAAAACTGTCGTGCAAGAAAATGGTAGCGGCTCGCGAAATTGACAATGTTCTGTTTTCTGTTCGTGGGTCCTCTGGTAGGTTAGAAAAAGGCACTTTAGTACAACAGTTTCTTGACGTTGGGAACGCTCGCGAGAATGGGTTGCCACTACAGCCCGGTTAGTCCTGCACTTCATGAAAAACTATCCAGTTTTCTCTTGAAGACGGCCACTTTTGTTCCGGCAATATTTCTAATACTTGCTGGGAGGATGTTGAACAACCGTGGACCTTTGATGTTCACGCAGTGCTTTGATTATGACTATAGCACCTCTGTTCTTCACTGGCTCTATTCTGCATTTCCATCTATATCGTTCACTTAAGAATGTTGCTATTTTACTTAGTAAATTTGGGACGTGGCCCTCCAAATTATATCATTCCAAGCTTGAACAGTTTTTGGTATTGAGGTTACTGTACAACTAAACAATTTGCTCATGAATGTTAATGCAAATGATTCATGGAGACTGCATTGTAAACTTAATGACTTTACCATACATTATACTGGAGAGAGTAGTATCCCATAGTTTATGATATTAATCAGTCATCATCTGTGGGCAGCTTAAATATTTTAAAATTAGAATTGTACCAATAAGCAGATTATTTATACATAACTATTGTCAGGCAGTTGACAATTGTATAATTGTCGGGAAAGTAGTTTGTAATATTCTCATGATTAACCACCCCACATGTATTTTATTTTACTTTATTAATTAAGGAAAACTAAGTAATCTGCAATACAAATATGCAATGTAAACGGTTGGATTTACAAATGGCCTTCATTAACTTTCTATTTTATGTAGGTGTCATTATTATACAGAATATGTAAGACTTAAAAAAATCCTATAACTTAGGAGAAATTATCACGTAATAATTAAGCTGTAAATCCGGTCATTGTACTAGGGATCACGGCAGACTTAACAGTTCCTGAAGACTGGCATGTTTCGTATCAAAATATTGGCTGCCAGTGACATCCATTAAATTAATAATAGCTCTAATGAGAAGATATACTGGGACTAATATATATATATATTTTATATAAATATATTATATATTTATATAAAATATATATATATATATATATATATATATATATATATATATATATTACATATATATATATATATATATATATATATAATAATAATAATAATAATAATAATATACAATATATATAATATGGGAATAGCTCTAATAATAACGTCTTCCTATTTTCCATACCTTGGACGCCCTTATTACTTTCAGTGTGAGGGTAGATGAGCAGGAAAAGTCATTGGAATGAATAGCTTCCCGTTTACCTCATAATAATGTAAAAATCTCAGCATTTAATTGACGGAAGATGGGATGTTATATACAAGCTGCTGTCTCTGCTAAAGTGAGAAACGATGTTTTATGGCATGGAAGAACAGTCTTTATTGCAAACTGATGTGTGAATATTTATTAAGAGAACTACAGTATAGTTGATTATCCCCTGTAGATATAATTTTAAGTGTATGGTTCACTCGCTGGCCTCATTGAGCCGTTAAACAAACGTAGAAGTTATATTTCACTGAATGGTTTGATAATCATTTATCTTAGTTATGTTTTAATATAAAAAAATGGTGGAAACGTTCGATTTCAGCAGCGATGGTGTTTGTGCTGTGCTAATGGCTACTGAGTACCGAAGCTTGTTGATGTTAGCCATGGTACCTTGGACTGCCTATAAGCAGCCTCAGACAATACTACACCAAAAACTTCAAAGAAATAAAAAATCCGAGACAGTGAAAGCTACACTAACTATTTCATGTGTGTAAAGTATCCAAAATGTTAGTAAATTATCCCAAGTTTGTTTATTGTAACTCTTCTGGACACTCATTCCCACGCCCCGCACTGGACAGCTGTGAGGTGCGTTTTACGCATGCTATGGATTATAGAACAAATAAAATGTAAATTGCTTAATTTTAAGACCATTGCACCCACATGTTAAGTAATATTGTTATGTAAGTGTACACCAGTACTCTATATAATAAGATAAACCCGGAAAATAAAAATATTACTTTATTCTGATATCATTTGTCATATTTTGGGGCTTTCATTGTTGCATTTAAGTGTATTTGATTCAAGATGATGTTAATTATGTATATCTTATATATTATCAGTTAGAAACACATTGAATGTTATTTCTTAATAAGATAGAAGCTAAAGATATAAACTTTGCATTCTTAGGCTTTATATTGCCTTAATTAGCAATATAGCTCCTTAGCTATTAATAGTAATGATAAAATTAATAAAATATTATAAATAATAATAATGCGCAACAATAGGCAAAAACTGTTAAGCTCGTTCTAAGTTATTATATTTAATTAATGCTACTGTACTTACTACACATCTAAGCATCAACAGCCAGCCTACTCTTAGTGTACATTACGGTCTATACTAAGTCTTGACCAGAGATTTTCAACCTTTTTTTCAACTCGCGGCACACTGAACAGATCGACGACCAGATCGCATGGGTGGTGATTAAGTACAGTGGGTGATGACTGGGCAAGAGAAGAACGTTCTCCATCACGGTATATACACTGAGATGTGTACCGGTGTGTACACACCGAAAGCCTACTTTAATCCTGAACTATCGGGGCTGAAATGCAAATTCGTTAATAAGCTATTGTGCTGGCTATAATAACCCTCTCGCAGTTTATAGGCCTTAAGGCCAACACCAAATCGAAAACCAGATATCTTTGTAACGAGAGAGTCATCACATGTGACCTTTCAGCTTCTTCAAGATGTTGAACGCCATGAGGTATTGGCATTTTGAGTATGACAGAAAAGTGATGGAGGTTGTGTATTAGATGCATGCACTAACTTGAGAATACAGGTCATCGACCATCGGTGAAGATGGGAAATGTATCCGATTTTTTTTCAAAAAAACGAAGACAATTTCCCAGTAATTCAACGTTTTCATATATTATGCTAGATTTAAATAGCAGAGATTAGGAGTGGCTATTGTCTATTGGATTCTCAGAAACACTTTGGGAAACATGTAAAAGATCCTGGACTGTGGCAAGAGGAAATGTAATGTTTGGATGACCTAGCTTCTGTCAGATGAACCTGAACCGTGGCTCGGACATGGAATGTGTTAGGAGAACGCAGAGAATGTCAGAATGACGTGGAGAGTCAGGAGAACGTAGCGAGTGTCAGGAGGACGTGAAGTGTGTCAGGAAGAAGTAGAGTTTGTTGGGAGGACGTGGAGAGTGCCAGGACGATGTGGAAAGTGTCAGGATGATATGGAATGCGTGAGGACATGACGTTTGTAAGGAAAGCATAGAGTGCGTGAGGAAGGCATAAAATGCTTGATGAAGGCATGGAAGGAGTAATGAAAGCATGGAGTGCGGGAGGAAGGCATGAGTGCATGAGGACAGCAGGACGGAGCCGGAGGAACGGGAGCGCCCCACAGAAGAGCGAGCAGTGTGGGCTATGTCACCGTGGAGGGTGTATGTTGCGCCTCGCGCTCCCCGACATGACTGAAGGCATCTGCTTCTCACCCCTCTCTTGCCTATTGGCTCCTCTGTACAATTGTTATATAAATATGTGTGAAATAATAGTTTGACAAACGTTATGCCAAAATAATGGTACTGGTTTTTTAAGTGTACTTGTCATAGTAAATGAAAACAATCATGTATTTCGGTAGGAGAAATTTGTATTACCAAAATTACCCTTTCTTCTCGGCCTTTGGATACCCACAGCAACAGGTGAGTGTTGAGCAGCAATATTACCATATATTTTGTGTGTTATATAATAGTACCTTAAGGTTTATCACTGGAATCGTTGATACGAGATCCCCAGGTGAATTTGATGCCCAAATCAGACTTATCAGTTGGTAATTATTGGTTGCTTATTATAACCTAATAGATTTGTTTTGTTCGATAGCCCAATATAATTTTTTTCGTTCACGCTCTATGTAGCGTTAGGTAATATTTATAAAGGAAAAGGTTTTTGAGAGAGGGGGAGCATATTACACAACTTACGGGTCTTGGGTAAGATTCCAGGGCGAGACGTTTGAGCACATTTACTTTCATCTGATAGTTCAGTTATACTAGCAGGCAATAGGTACATGAGAGTTATTGAACTGTTGTGGGTTGTATCCTAGGAAGAGGCCAGTCATTGGCTAGGAAGACCTCTATAAACCTAACCGGTTCTTTGTCCTCGATAATGGGAAACCAAACTTAAAAAAATGACTTACCAGAATACTAGTTAATATTAGGTTGAATTAGACGTTTGTTGGACATTAAAGAGTGTAACTCAGTAGATGATGTACATGTCACTCGGTCAGTCAGGTTAAGTACTGCTGGCTTTCTCAAAAACTAGATGGGTGACCAAGCGAATAGCCTCGCACTTGCTATCTATATAGTCGTAATGACTTGGCGTTTTCCCATAATTCTCTCCCTCCCTCCCACACTTCTTATTAGTCACCTTGCTTTGTTGGACCTCGATAAGCCAAACTTATTACCTGTCCTGACAATGTCTACCAATATATCCGCTCTCTTAAATCGACCTCAGCCATATCAACTCTACCATTAACTTTATTTGGGCATCGCCTCTCAGAGTGAACTTAAAGAGTTGATAGACTAGCAAAGTATTCCAAAGCACAGAATATTGGAAAACTGGATACCAAATATTGTAGTAATGTGCAGCTATGGCAATATTGTAGTAGTGTGCAGTAATGGCGGTATTGTAGTAGTGAGCAGCCATGACAATATTGTAATAGTGTGCAGCTATGGCAATATTGAAGTAGCAGCTATGGCAGTATTGAAGTAGCAGCTATGGCAGTATTGAAGTAGCAGCTATGGCAGTATTGAAGTAGCAGCTATGGCAGTATTGAAGTAGCAGCTATGGCAGTATTGAAGTAGCAGCTATAGTAGTATTGAAGTAGCAGCTATGGCAGTATTGAAGTAGCAGCTATGGCAGTATTGAAGTAGCAGCTATGGCAGTATTGAAGTAGCAGCTATGGCAGTATTGAAGTAGCAGCTATGGCAGTATTGAAGTAGCAGCAATGGCAGTATTGAAGTAGTGAGCAGCTATGGCAATATTGTAATAGTGTGCAGCTATGGCAGTATTGTAGAAGTGTGCAGCTATGGCAGTATTGTAGAAGTGTGCAGCTATGGCAATATTGTAGTGGTTTGCAGCTATAACAGTATTGTAGTGGTGTGCAGCTATGACAGTATTGTAGTGGTGTGCAGCTATGACAGTATTGTAGTGGTGTGCAGCTGTGACAGTATTGTAGTGGTGTGCAGCTATGGTAATATTGTATTAGTGTACAACTATGGCAATGTTTATCCCTCAGTTCACTTTGAAAAAAACGTGAATGCTCTGATGGATGTACAAATTCGAACTCATGTTTTGTTGGGTGAAGAAAGTGGTTGTGCGTTACATGAAGACGTATTGTACTTGCTGTAAGAGGAAACACATGTGTTCTATTACTTCTTTTTTCTCTGAAGGAGCAGTGGGAAAGAAAGTAGGGTAGAATGTTCAAGTTCAAGGAAGTTAGAGACAATAAGATAATTTCTCACAAGGATAGAGTAGCTTAGGCTATTTTGTACCCTTCAAGAGTAGAATGGTCCGCTAAGAGAGTGGTCCAACCGAGTGGAGAACCAAAGTAGTATAGGAGTGTGGGGAGGAACCAGTGACCTAGACTGACCTACTTGGCGAGCGGGTACCACAGTTGTCAGACCAGTCACCACACATTCCACCCCACTATTGTATCCTTCACCCCCAACTGTTTATGTTACTTATTCACACGCTCATTCATCACCTTTAATTACTTATAAATATTGGTTTTTAATAGTATTTCTCAATGTTGTTTGATATCGTTCGCCTCATGGGCTTTTGTTATCGTATTGGCATCCTTAATGATATTGAGGATATAAGTGATATTTAGCGCCTTCTGAATATCTCGCACATGTGATGATGACCTTCCCGGCTTGGTGCTTTCTTTTGATAATTACTTACTTTTAAATGTTGGTTAAATATTATTTCCAAATATTGGTTTTAAATGTTAGTTCTAAATATTGGGGTTTAATATGTTTTAAATTAAGGCTATAAATATTGGCTTTAATTATTGATTCTAAATATTGACAAATATTAATTACTAATATTCGATTTAAATAATGATTCTAATAATGACAGCAAATAATGGTTCTAAGTATTGATTTTAAATAATATTATGGGGCCGGAACAGTGCTTCCAGTAACTTGAAACATCGATAATTTTTAGAAAATAATAATTATGAATTTGTGATACACAAGACTTCATCACCCTTGTTATAACACTGCCGCAGCACCTTGTAAAGATCCAGCGTTATGCAACAATAAGTATTCCTGAGGCGAAAGACTTGAGTTACAAGGAAAAACCTTGCCATACTGGAGGAGACCAAGACTAGGGTGGGCACGATAACTACATAGAAGAGTTTCAAAGGAAATGGTATAGTACATAAATATGCAATATTAAATGCTAGGAACCGCAGAACGAGGGAGCATGTATGAAAACTAGAGACACAGATATGTCAAAAATCATTTCTATAGTGTGGAGTTATAAATAAGTGATTTGGTTAGAGTTAGAAGGGGTTTAAAGTAACTTAATACACTTTTCAAATGTGAATTTGACTGGGAAAACTAGAGAACCGAGTAGTTGTATTGAACTACAAAAATGTTCAAAATACTGGGACAAGAATATTATACACAGCAGGGGAGCGAGCCCCTCTTTACCAACCTGGTACCGTTACCCAGCCGGGTTGGGTAGCACTCACTGCCTTAGTTCCTGCCCCGACCTCATTAATCCAGCAGCTCACTCATCCGATCTCACTGCCCTCTCCCCTCCTCATTACACCTGTCATTCCACTGCTGTCCTCACTACGCTTACTTCTCTTTTAAGTGAGGTCGGACCTTCCCACTTCCCTTATCACATCAGCCCACTCCTTCCCTCAATCTCCTCCATTTCACAAGTTTTCGCCTTTCTCCCCCAACCTCACCCCAACCCTTAAGTTTTCATACCCACTTATTTGCCTCAGTTTCACTAACTTTTGAAGCTAACTCTTGTTATCATTCAATAACGGGATTTAAAAGGCGGTGTATATATTAATACGTAGCTGCTTTGTTACTGGCTGCAGTCAACATATGGAATAGGTTGGAAGAATATAAGATAAGGTACGGCGGAGGTAGCGTTACAGCATCTACTGTGGAGAGACACAGACACAGACAGAGAGTCTTGGAGAAATATGTATGGAAGTGCATCATGATAAAGGAATTCCTTTCGAATCTGACGAGTTTATCTACCATTGGAAATTGAACAGCTTTTTTCAACGGCTACCAAGGCCGATAGTTCAAAAGAGCAAATCAGACGAATGACTGTAGGGAGTAAATGTAGCCGAAGTGTTACCGTTGTATTGAATAAGACAATGTAAATATAACATGGAGGAGTGTCGAAGGTTTTTCACTTTTTGTTGTTGCATTCCGGCCACTCCGATGCCTTCGTTACCCATAGACTTGGCGTCTGATATGTGGGTGAAGACTTGGCTGCAGTGATTTTAATTTATAAACAAATATATATAGTTCAGTTAGGCCTAGTTCTTGAAGAAGCTATGTACAATTAAGACAAACCTTTCGGAGTATAGCTAAAAAGTTGAACACAATTTGATGCTAAACTAACTTAGGTAACTATCCAAATATAATAAAATGCATGAGATTCAGGGGAAAAGGTGAGTGGTCACGGTGGCGGGCCCCGTTGAGCCTAGCAGTAAACCACAGCTGTCATCGCCGACATAGGGGCCTAAAGGCTGAGTGGACAGCGCTCGGGATTCGTAGTCCTAAGGGTCCGGGTTCGATCCCCGGCGGAGGCGGAAACATATAGGCATAGTTTATTTCACCTTGATGCTCCTGTTCACTTAGCAGTAAATAGGTACCTGGGAGTTAGTCAGCTACTACGGGCTGCTTCCTGGGGATGTGTGTGTGTGGGGGGGGGAGGGGATCAGTTGATTTATTGACAGTTAAGAGGTGGGGCCCAAAGAGCCAGAGCTCAACCCCTGCAAGCACAACTAGGTGAGTACATAACTGCCTCACATCACTGCTGCTTCTGGGATAACTCGCGCATGCCACTTTCCCCAGAAAACTATTTGTGTCTGCAGGATCGAGCTCTCGGACCCCGCTTTTCTCACCGTCGGTTGTCTAATGTACAAACTCCCAACCAATTTTTCCTCATCATATCTCCTGCAAATATTTCTAACACACACACACTTATGTCAGACCAATCCTGGAATATGCAGCTCCAGCCTGGAGTCCATACCTAGTTAAACACAAGACAAAGTTAGAGAAGATTCAGCGGTATGCCACCAGGCTCGTCCCGGAACTGAGAGGAATGAGCTCCGAGGAAAGGCTAAAGGAGTTGAACCTCACGTCCCTGGAAAACAGAATAGTAAGGTTAGTTAAGGTTAAGTAAGGTTATTCGTTAAATTGACAGATAGAGTATATGCAAAGTATTTAATTATGCATATATGGTCGTCAAACTATATCGTCCGTGTTTATACAAAATATGATTTAAATTTGTATGTAGAAATCTGCGTTTATCACTAGGCTATGGCAATACTGCTCTTGGCTTCTACCTTGTTATTTTGGTTATATTTTATTTGGTGTTTATGTCAGATCTGAGATGGATGTATGACAGGATCTCTGCAAAATAAAACATTTTTTTCATTAATTTG